GTACGGCAGTTGCATTAATTTTTAGAAGAATTTACGTTGACTTTGTTAGAAATATGTTTGTTTAAAGGTTATTATCATTGCCGATGGATGTGACGATGTTATTAACACAGCTATAGTTGATCTGATTGTTTTTAGTAAAAAAATATTCTTTTTGGTTTAGGCGAATGGTTGAAGTGTTTATGGATTAAACAAAAAAAAATCTTCTGATATTAGTTTTGATATTACGGTTAGAACCATACAATATTGCGTTTACGGTGTTTCTCCTTATTTCTACCATTTTAGGTTTATTTCTAAATACTCTAAATTTACGCGATGGCTTAGTTCTAAGCTTGTATATATTTAATTTTAGACTTATCAATTATTTCTTAATTGCTGGAGTTTGTGGATAATCTAACTTGTGGATAATCTAACAGATTTATGTAAATTATTTAGAATTTTGAGGTAGTGGTTTGACTATTTACTAACGTATCTATAGTTATATAGATACTGTTTATGGTTTATAAAAGCCACTATTCATGTCTAATGTTACATCGAGAAAGTTCACCCTTGGTGGTGGTGGTGGTAATATTTAGTTCCTTATCTTTAAAAAAAAGTTTTCCAGTTCTTTTCTCAATCGGTCTATCTTTTGTGGATTAGTTTTACGGAGGAGAATGGCACCGTCATTTCTATAGTGACCGGTGTAATTGCTATCGAAAATAAATCTTAGTCGCCATAATAATAAAATTCCAAGTAAATCGCATGCCGCCGTTGAATCATATACTCCCATAGCTATATTCAATTCCGGGTTAGTTGTTTTGGTCCACAAATAACCATTATGGAAAAGTGTGGATATTTGTGCTTGTTTTATGATATTAATTTTACGATCGACAATAGGGCAGTAATTTAGATTGATAGACGACATTAGCAGATTCTGGGTGATGGATGGGTAAAATTCCCAAATATCGTAATGGATGAAAGTACATTCATTTCTTCTTTTTATATTGGTAAACCATTCTATAGCTTCAGCTGTTTTGTTCCATTGGTTAATTCTCAGAGCATATTTGGTGCATTTGCATGTTCTTTCAAATATGTTTTTGCTGATTGTAGCGATATTATTTTTGTTGGCTTGAGTAATCGATACTGGGTTTTGTTTAGTAAATTTGCTTAATGATCATTAACTGTGATAAAAACTTTTTGTTTGTGGAATTTATGGATCCTACCATCAGTTTTAAGTTCCTTGGCTATTTTCTTTGCCTCATAATTGATGTTCTTTTCCCGAATATATGGTGTCTTTTGTAAAACTTATTAACATCTTTATGTTACATATCCGCATCGAATTTATAATGGATCCCAGGCTTGTCTGTTTTCATGATTATTTTGTTGAATTTTTTAATCATAGCAACGTCTTTTAGCAGTATTTGCTGCAGATCGTTGATAATATTCGTGAATTTAATTTTGCCTATTACGGATAATGGATCTTTTTCAGAGACCAATAATAGGTCGTCAAATAAAGGTGTTTTGGTTGATTTAAATCCATAAATCTCGACATCTTTTAAGGTGTTATCCTCGTCCATGTGTTTAAAGAAGAAGAGTTTCAATCTCGTTTTCATAACTCTCTCGATCTTATGTAAAAGGATCCGCTTTTTTTCAGGAGCCATGATGTTTTGTCATTCGAGTAGTCCAAGTTAATTGGTTCCATATTCCAATAACACTCAAGATACAAAGTGAAAATACATTACCACACTATAACAGTCCTCAAGTAAAACGTATATATATATATATATATATATATATATATATATATATATATATATATATATATGTGTGTGTGGAAAATTATATATATATATATATATATATATATATATATGTGGAAAATTATTGACAAGGCTAGAATATGTAAAGCTTGGGGTGACCCATGCCCTTTGTGCCTCCATGAAAAATTGCACATTATTAAACTTCTAAATAATAATAATCTATTAAATAATAGACACGAGTTAACGGTTTTTGTAGGCATCATCAGATTTTTGGTTTGAATTATTAGATAAAAAAATTTATATAACTTGTTTAACAAATAGCCCAATCATCAGATTCATAGTAGGAATAATTAACTACAAACATGCATACAACATATAACACCCTTCATAATCCATAGCCTAAATTAGTAGTTTAAATACCTTACATAAAAGATAACCCTTTATGAAGTCGTCAAAAACAAACGTTACGAAAGTTTTTTCTTTTTTTATATGCAATTCCCTTCATAATAAAATAAAATAAATAAATAAATCTCCATAGACAAGCAAACTAGACGATGGCCAATACATCTTCCGTTTCATTTTGACACCCCACCTTTCCCCGACTTGACACCTTGAAAGTATCTCTATACCGCTACTTATTATTAAAACCCTACACTCGCCTACCCAATTTAAACAATTCACCCTAGCTGTTACCATGGGGATTTTGATTTCGATTTTTAAAACAAGTAAATTTCAGATATACGTTATTCCAACAAAAATTTCGCTTGAGGATGGAACGGAGCCCATTTTAATTTCAACTCAATTTAATTTAAAGGATTATATTGAAGTTTTCGGCTCTTGTTTTGAAACATGAGACCTCTTATGTAGCGATTTGGAATCATATTTTTAAATAAATAATTATATATATATATATATATATATATATATATTAAAATATATCGCACATATAGAGTTGGTGTTAATAAAACAGTGCTCGATATAATACAATAGAGTTATTAAATATATATACATCTTAAGTATATATGCATCATTCGACGACGCTGCACTTAGATGCAACATATTCTCCTGTACTGTTTGTGGTCTTTTTGTTTGTGAAATTTAGGGATCCTACCATCAGATTTAACTCCCTTGGCTATTTTTTTTTGACTCACAATTGATGTTGTTTTCCCCGATATATTGTGCCTTTTGTCAAACTTATTACCTTCTGTATGGTATATCGACTTTATAACGACTCCCCCTCTTGTCTTTTTTCATGATTATTTTGTGGGATTTTTTTTTTATCATAGCAACGTCTTTCAGGATTTTCTTTTTTTGCTGTAGATCGTTGGTAATCGTGAATTTAATCTTTTGCCTATTACGGAGAATGGATCTTTTTCAGAGACCAATAATAGGTCGTCAAATAAAGGTGTTTTGGTTGATTTAAATCCATAAATCTCGACATCTTTTATGGTCTTATCCTCGTCCATGTGTTTAAAGAAGAAGAGTTTCAACCTCGTTTTCATGACTCTCTCGATCTTATGTAAAAGGGTCAGGTTATATACTCTTTTAAGAGGAAACATATAGAGTATTCCAAGTCAATAAATTCCATATTATATACATATATATATATATATATATATATATATATATATATATATATATATATATATATATATATATATATATATATATATCCACTTGATACAAAACATTCTCCTGTACTGTTTGTAGTCTTGTGCAATTCTCGAGCCGGTCTCAAAAGTCATGCTTGTCATAGGCTTGCAGATAATTAATTCGTGGTCGTCGGAACCCTATACGTCGAATTCGACGGAGACTCTATCATATATATATATATATATATATATATATATATATATATATATATATATATATATATATATATATATATATATATATATATATATATATAGATATATAGATATATATATATTAGTGTTTATGCTAATAAAAGAGTATTCTATGTAATATCGTAGAGCCATTTATGCATGTTTTAATTATATACTTAATAGCTATGTTATATTACGACAAGTACTGTTTTATTAACACCAGAACAATATGTGATATATATATATATATATATATATATATATATATATATATATATATATATATATATATATGACTGGAAGGATAATTCTTGAGGTGGATATAAATCCAGAACTCAATGGAGAATTTGCGAAGGAGATTTCGTTCTGACGAATATATATATACCCGTTTTTTATTATTATATATATATATATATATATATATATATATATATATATATATATATATATATATATATATATATATATATATATATATATATCTGATACTGGTATTAAAGAGTATATTCATTTATTTTCGTTTAACCAACTGTATATTTATCTAATATGATTTCTGGAATATTCTGTCCCGTAGAAGAAAATAAACAAATAATAAATAAGCGATGCGTGTACTCAAATACGAGTAACCGCTAAAACAACGTTTAAGTAATAAAAATCAATCCCTTTCTTTATATATATATATATATATATATATATATATATATATATATATACAGGGTGCCTAATATACGTTCTTACATTTTGACTTCTTATAACTTCTCGAATTTCTTTTTTTCATATTCAAGCATTTAATTTTATTTAATATTTAATTTATATAGTTAATCTTCATTGTAATATTTTTTAATTTTAACCATAAATATTATTTGAAAATCAAGATGCACTCCATTTATTGTCATTTGGAGAGTGTGTATATATTCGGAGGACAGCAGAGATAAATATGAACAGACTCAGATAGATAGATAGATAGATAGATAGATAGATAGATAGATAGATAGATAGATAGATAGATGCGAACAGGTATTTGCACAAACAATAGGCACTCATAGAAAAATAAGCCCTGTAATTACACACACGCACTGAAGATATTTATAAGCAGAATGAATTTGTCCATAGAAACATTATCGAGAAATACATCACCAGTCAACCAGAACTATTTTATAATAGAAAATTCCTTTACTTTTCTAGTAAAGGTATTTTCTATTATAAAAATATCAAAGCAGTTAACCTTATCATCAATAACAACTCACAAGCAAGATCCAAATTACAGAGAATCAATAATATTTAGGAATTTACATAATCCTTAAGGAACTGCGATCCTGATCAAAATAAATTCATAATTACATCCTCGACTATTCCCTTACAGTTGGTGATATAATACAGTTAATTTGACGTGTGTTTATATATAACAGGCGTCGGCAAACTAAGACCCGCGGGCCATATGCGGCCCGCCAAATGTTAGTAAATTTGAAAGAGAAAGTTACCAAGCAACGCCAAATAATTGTTACAAGTAATTTGGTGCCTAACTTTAACAAACTAGTAAATGACTGCAATCATATACATTATTCTCACTGAGATCCTTCTGTTGCTGATTACTTTGTTTTTCAAATAAATCTCTTTCAGGTGAAAACTCTACTTCAAAATATCAATATTTTTTTCTCTCTAAACTGAATTACTTTATTTTCAAAAAAATCTGTTTTATGTGAAGTTTCTACTCTAAAATCTAAATTAATTTTTTTCTTTAAATTTAGTTACTTTAAATGTTTTTTTTATTCGAAGTTTCTACTTTAAAATATTAGTAAGAATTGTTTTTCATTTCTTTACGCAGAATTAATTGGTTTATCAAATAAATATTTCTATTTTATAATATTAATTAATAAAAATATTTTTCTTAAAACAAGGTTATTTTGTCTTTCAAATGTGTTTCATGTAAATCCTGAACTTAAAAATACTTATTAATATTTAAACTGAGTTGAGTTGTCTTTCAAATAAATGCCTTTTTGTGAATCTTCTACAGTACTTTAAAATATTAATAAAAATTAATTGCATTTTTTTTCTTTGAGAGCTTTTTTGTCTATTTTAAATAATAATTATTTTGGGTTAATATACTATGCGGCCCAATAAAATTGTGAATTTTTGAATGTGGTCCTTGCACTGAAAGGTTAGCCCGACCCTGATATATGAGAACTCTCTTGACGTAGTTTCTGCATACATTATAATGTTCTTTTCTAATTAATAAAACTGAAGTTTTGGCCTCTTTTGTTTCTGTGTAATACCACCGATTTTAAAGGGATTTCCCAACATTGGTCTTTTTTATGCGGGTTTTTAGATTCCTAGATGTTTCACCGATGTAACTTCTCCGACATTGCAGGCTTTTATGTCATAAACCCGAGCCTCTGGTGTAATGTTCGATATATTTATTTTCTAACTATATATTCCATTGTCTTGGACGTGGTGTTAAAGATCCTAGTGTTGGGGATAACTAATTTATTTTCAGTTTTTTTCTTTTTTTATACAGTATTGGAGAGTAGGATTATGAATATTATTTACATTATTCGGACTAATGTCCTCATCTTTGTCGCACAACGTTTCGGCCGTTGTACGCTTCGGCCTTCTTCAGGTGGTTGGAATGTCGAATGGAAGAAGGCCGGAGCGTACAACGGCCGAAACGTTGTAATAAATATGGCGACAAAGATGAGAACATTAGTCCGAATAATGTAAATAATGTACATAATACCTCATCTCAGAAATATAGACAGATAGTGAAAGGCCGAAATATTGTAATAAATATGGCGACAAAGATGAGGACATTAGTCCGAATAATGTAAATAATGTACATAATACCTCATCTCAGAAATATAGACAGATACTGAAAGGCCGAAACGTTGTAATAAATATGGCGACAAAGATGAGGACATTAGTCCGAATAATGTAAATAATGTACATAATACCTCATCTCAGAAATATAGACAGATACTGAAAGGCCGAAACCTTGTAATAAATATGGCGACAAAGATGAGGACAATAGTCCGAATAATGTAAATAATGTACATAATACCTCATCTCAGAAATATAGACAGATACTGAAAGGCCGAAATATTGTAATAAATATGGCGACAAAGATGAGGACATTAGTCCGAATAATGTAAATATTGTACATAATACCTCATCTCAGAAATATAGACAGACTCTGGAGGATTATGAATGTTGTGTTTTTCTTTTCGGGAGTTTCTGTGTCGTGGGTGGTGGTGTCTGAATGGTCAGAAAAAAAGAGCTTTACCTACAGATAATCTGGGCGACAAAAAACAGAAAATTGTGAAGAATCATGATCGCCCACCTCTGGGGATTTCGTGCATAAAAGAACAAGCGCGTTTAAACATATATTTCATTCACTTAAAATATTTCTTGAAAGATCTCCATTTTGATTTGAAAAAATCATGCTATCCAAAATTTAATATCTTTATAATTAAGGAAAGGAGTTTTTAATTAATGTTTAGCATTCCTTAATTAAATTTGAATGATATCTTGCAATTTGAATCTTAAATTAAAATTTAATTTCTTCTTACAATTCTTCATTCCTATACCTCTGTTAAAGAGAACAGCCATAAATACACGTGTTTTTCCTCTTCTGCTGCAACTGCAATTCTTGCATAATCCATTACATGTATCATTCTCTAATTCTTATTCAAAGAGTTGCTATTCTCGTTAAGCAATTTGGTTGAAATAGCAGAGGTCTTGCTTATGTTATCTCTATATAAATTGAATTCAGAGTTGCCGTTCATCTAGGTTAGTTGCCAATCACAGTTAGAGAGCTCAATCTGCCTGCTATTTAACCCATAGGAGGAGAGAGAATTGATGTTTTTTTCCAAAGAGTATTTGCGTGTCAGTGAATGTAATGAAATCAACTGGAAGGGTTATTTTTTTCTTTTTCCCGCCTTCTTTTTTGATTTCTTAGCTTTCCTTCCTTCCTTCCTTCCTTCCTTCCTTCCTTCCTTCCTTCCTTCCTTCCTTCTTCCATCCTTCCTTCTTCCATCCTTCTTTCCTTCCTTTCTTTCTCTTTCTCCTTTCCTTATTCATACTACCCCCCCTTGATATTATACTTTTTTTTTCCTTCCTTTTTTTCCTTCCTTCCTTCTCTTTCTTCATACCTTAATTTTGGGTCTTTTGCAGGCTTCTTTCATTAATTCATCCTTTCTCTCTTCCCTTTTCTTTTTTCTTCCCCTATTTATCCCACCCTCTTAGTCTTATATATGCTTGCTTATTCTTTTCCTTTTTCTTTATTCATTCTTTCTTGGTCATATACAGGAGACTTTCTTTAATTAATCATTCATTTCTCCCTTCCTTCCTTCATTTCATATTCCTTCATTTTTTGCGTTTTAAACAGGGTCCTTAATTCCTTCGTTCCTTCCTTCATTTCATTATTTCTTCCTTTTTTGTCTCATACAGGCTTCTTTCTTAATCCATCCTTCCTTCGTTCCTCCCTCCCTTCCTTTCTTCATTTTTTATTTCTTTTTTTGCATCTTATACAAGCTTCTTTCTTAATTCATCCTTCCTTCCTTCCTTCCTTCCTTCCTTACTTCCTTCTTTCCTTCCTTCATTTTTATTTCTTTTTTTGCATCTTATACAGGCTTCTTACTTAATTCATCATTCCTTCCTTCCTTCCTTCCTTCCTTCCTTCCTTCCTTCCTTCAGTTCTTATTCCTTCTTTTTGTGTCTTATACAGGCTTCTTTCTTAATTCATCCTCCTTCTTTCCTTCCTTCCTTTCCTACCCTCCCTCCGTCCTTCCATCGTTCCTTCCTTCTTTCCTTCAGTTTTTATTCCTTCTTTTTGCGTCTTATAGAGGCTCCTTTCTTAATTCATCCTTCCTTCTTTCCTTCCTACCTCACTCCCTTCCTTCCTTCCTTCATTTTTTATTTCTTCTTTTTGCATCTTATACGGGCTTCTTCCTTCCTTCCTTCCTTCCTTCCTTCCTTCCTTCCTTCCTTCCTTCCTGCATTTTTATTCCTTCTTTTTGCGTCTTATAGAAGCTCCTTTCTTAATTCATCCTTCCTTCCTTCCTGCCCTCCTCCTTTTTAATTCTTCTTTTTGCATCTTATACAGGCGTCTTTCATAATTATCCTTCCTTCATTCCTCCCTCCCTCCCTTCCTCCATTTTTTTACTCTTTCTTTATACGTCTTATACAGGCTTTTTTCTTAATTCATCCTTCCTCATTTCCTTCCTTTCTTCATTCATTCACTCCTTCTATACAGCTTCCTAACATGCCCTTTCTATTTACCTGCTCCTTTCATCCTCTCATTCATTCCCTATATGTTCTACTCTCTTTTCGTTGTCCCACAATGCATTTCTTTTATTCCATCTCTTCTTCCATCATTAACTCACTCTTTTCTTCCATCCTTCTCTTCGCTCCTTCTATATACATTCCTTTTCTCCCTCTTTTATTTCTTTTCCTATTATTTGTGTCCGATTACCTTCTTTTTTTCCTTCCTTTTTTCCTCACATTTTCCCCTTCTCTTTCTCTCTTATGTACTCCCTTTTTCTTTTTATTCGCTCTCATCTTCCGACTTCCTTTCAATCCCCATTTTCTTGTCGTCCTTCCTCATAAGATTTTCTCTCGTTTTTTTACAACGTTCGTCACGAATTTCTATTTGTTTGTTCAGCATTCATTTCTCTTTATTTAATACGGTTTCTCTCAAAGATTAAATATATCAGTCAAGTCATATAAAAATAAAAGCGTAACTGAAGGACAAACAGACCTCTTCTATCTGGATAAGACGTTCGACTGCTCCCCTTAGAAATTGTGCATCTACAATCAGTAATATATTTGAAGACCATGCAACACCCTGTCGAATTTCACCAACGGACAAACCAGGTGTAACAGCAAAATTGTTCAAATCGTGCTACAATATAATTGTTCATTCCACAAAATGTTTAATAGCTAAAAAAAAAGATAAACTAATTGAGTTTCTTTTTTCGGGGTTTTCACATAAGGCAGTTAGCCATCTTTACACCATTTTGGGTAAAACTCACTCAAAAACCCTTTAATTAATTCAGTTAAAAAGAGAACAGATTAAAATCATTTCGTGTCAAACTGAGCAATGGTGAGAGGAAAAAGATTACTCAGGCCATCAGTGGTGGTACCAGCATTTATACTCTGGTTTCAATCTTCAAAGTCCATTCAATAATCATCAAGAGAACGGTGAATAAGTTTAAAAAAGATGGAACAGTATAGAGGCAAACTGGATCAGGAGGTTACAACAGGAAAAGGGATCATCATTTCAACTTAGAGTTAAAGAGATCAATTAGAAAAGATCCAACTCAATCTTTGGTACGCGAGAGAGGTGGTTCGCCCATGTCAATCCAAAGAGCAGTGAAAAAAATTTGAAAATGATATCGTACGTGAAATGTGTGAGGCACCTTGTTACTCCAGGATATGAAGTTAGAAGGTTAGAGAGGGCGAAGATCCTTTTGAATAAGTTGGGAAATGATCCCGGAATAAGGTACATATATTTGAATACTTCATGAGCTTCTGATTTTTAGCTATGGTTAATTAATGATGAACATGTCACTTTCGTTTATAATCGATATCATCACGATTCTTCTGTTAAGCTTGGAGAGTAACTATACATTCTTATTTCTTAAAGTAGAGTCCAATAGTGTTATAAAATCCACGGAGAATTCCAGTAAAGATAATTTAACCATTTCTAAGATACGGCAGTTCAAAGCTTCATCATGGACAATTTTGCTTTTAAACGATTTGGACAATTTTGGTGTTATACTCGTTACTCTTTTCTATTTTTGTATATCTAATGAACTAATTTTCTATCCGTATCGAGGCAGGTTGTTCCCAGTGTAGGTTCGTGATTATTATCCTTCCCAAATATGTCGAGTTACTAAGTAGTTCCAACAGATTTTCGTGATATATTTACCTTATTAATTATCTGCCGTAAGAGAGTAATTCTTGCAAATTAATTATTTTTTCAGGCAACACAAGATTATCTTGCTAGATTTCTATCCTGCATTCTCCTCTGTACACTACCGATTAATTCCTTCTATACAATTTCCTAACATCCCTTCTCCCTTTTTCCTGCTCCTTTCTGTTATACATTTTCATGACGGTCGTCTTCAAGTATAGAATCCAGAGGTTGGCAGTGAATATTTCAGGGACAGTAGGAAAGCAGCGCAGGTTCGCAGTGGATATCGCACAAGGTAGCAGAGCGTAGTTCTTCCGTCTGTCCTGTTCGCCAGACAAGTTGCCTCTGGTCATTCCAGTAAGAAAACAAAGATGGCCGCCTTTATACACGACGGATACAACCTTCTATTGGTCGACTATAAAGGGAAATAAGTCATTTTGACTCGCTCACTAGTTATATACAGCATATACCCAAAAAAAAACTGTAACACTTTCATCCTACCCGTCTTTCCCTATTTATTCTAAGCTTTTTTACAGGGTTTCCCAACATTGCTCTCTTTTAGATTCCTAGGTATTTCGCCAATGTAACCTCTCCGATATTGCGAGCTTTTTATGTCATAAATCCGAGCATCTGATGTAGTGTTCCCAGCAATAATATTCTAAACTTTATTCCTCTGTTTCATTTTGTCCTAGGCAAGAAACTATTATCGTACAAGATTTCTACCCACTATGATATAAATCCAGGCACAGCACCCTATATTTTAAGACCAATTCTCATTTTGCGCCTAACAAAACGAGGTTATTGTGGCCAGAAATAATGACATAAGTGAGGAATTGAGTTAAACAAATATATTGACAGAAACAGTAATACAAACATATACAAACGAGAGTGTTACAGCAAGAATGTTCGGTCCGACTGTCAGAGCTGATTGCTGGAAACCTCACCGTTCAAAAGGCAGTACCTGCTCCTATTTATAGCTGAGAGAGTCCATGCGTGCGTGGGTAAATTACCATAACATTTATATTGCTAGTTCTCTACTTTGTACTGTCTGAATACAGGAATCACACCATATACTTTATGTCCCAATTTCATTTTTCTCGCCCGGAAACTTCGATGCATGTATATCGTTTGCCTGTATCTCTGGCTTCATAAACATGATTGACAGTTGTTCAGGATGCAAAGAAGAACATATATTGAAATGGAACAGTTGAGACGAAGGGAAGATACCTTGCCGTTGGGTTAGGGGAGTGTAAAACAAGCTATGGAGAGAACTTTAGAGAGCGACAGCATTTCTGAGCCAGGGAGAATGCTAGTCAGTTTGAATGAAAGGGTCACAAGAAGGGACAAAGAATTGTAGATAAAAAGGGTCAGTAGAGATAAAAAGAAAACTGTCCAAATAAGACTGAAAGTGAAAGTGAAAGTAGGAGATAGCAAGAAAATAATTAGAGGAAAGAAAAACGAATGTACGAAGAAAATAGGAGATCTCTAAAGGGGAAAATAAAGAAGGGGCAAAAAGGTAAAAATAAGTCCTTGATATAAAGATTTTGTGCCCCAAGAGTAAAAGATTCAGCTTCGATCGACAGAAAATGAAAAGGCTTAATGTGGGAACAAATGACGAAAGATGAGTAGAAATATTAAGGAAATTCGAGAATCAAAGGAAGGAACGTAGAAAGAAACCAAGTATAAAAAAGAAAGTAAGAATGAAAAATATAGAAAAATGAATGGAAGGAAAATTAAAGAAAGACTAAATGAAGAAAAAGAAGAGAAAAATTATCATAGGAAGGAAAGGAATGGTTAAGGAAAAATTGATTGAATGCAAAATAAAATATGGAATGAGATATAAAGTCACAAACTGATTGCTGAAGAAAGAAAGAAAGAAAGAAAGAAAGAAAGAAAGAAAGAAAGAAAGAAAGAAATAAGTAACGGCAAAATTAGAAAGAGAAAATAAAATGTTGGTAGAAAGAAAGAAAGAAAGAAACTGGGAAAATTAGAAAGAGAAAATAAAATGTTGGATATGTAGAAAGAAAGAAAGAAAGAAAGAAAGAAAGAAAGAAAGAAAGAAAGAGGGAAAATTAGAAAGAGAAAATAAAATGTTGGATATGTAGAAAGAAAGAAAGAAAGAAAGAAAGAAAGAAAGAAAGAAAGAAAGAAAGAAAGAAAGAGGGAAAATTAGAAAGAGAAAATAAAATGTTGGATATGTAGAAAGAAAGAAAGAAAGAAAGAAAGAAAGAAAGAAAGAAAGAAAGAAAGAAAGAAAGAAAGAGGGAAAATTAGAAAGAGAAAATAAAATGTTGGATATGTAGAAAGAAAGAAAGAAAGAAAGAAAGAAAGAAAAGAAAGAAAGAAAAAAGAAAGAAAGAGGGAAAATTAGAAAGAGAAAAAATAAAATGTTGGATATGTAGAAAGAAAAAGAAAGAAAGAAAGAAAGAAAGAAAGAAAGAAAGAAAGAAAGAGGAAAATTAGAAAGAGAAAAATAAAATGTTGGATATGTAGAAAAAAGAAAGAAAGAAAGAAAAGAAAGAAAGAAAGAAAGAAAGAAAGAAAGAAAGAGGGAAAATTAGAAAGAGAAAAAAAATGTTGGATATGTGAAAGAAAGAAAAAGAAAAGAAAGAAAGAAAGAAAGAAAAAAGAAAGAAAGAAAGAGGAAAATTAGAAAGAGAAAATAAAACGTTGGATATGTAGAAAGAAAGAAAGAAAGAAAGAAAAGAAAGAAAAAGAAAGAAAAAAAAAAGAAAGAAAGAGGGAAAATTAGAAAGAGAAAATAAAATGTTGGATATGTAGAAAGAAAGAAAGAAAAGAAAGAAAGAAAGAAAAGAAAGAAAGAAAGAAAGAAAGAAAGAGGGAAAATTAGAAAGAGAAAATAAAATGTTGGATATGTAGAAAGAAAAAAGAAAGAAAAAAGAAAGAAAGAGGGAAAAATTAGAAAGAGAAAATAAAATGTTGGATAAAAAAGAAAGAAAGAAAGAAAAAAGAAAGAAAGAGGGAAAATTAGAAAGAGAAAATAAAATGTTGGATATGTAGAAAGAAAAAAAAGAAAGAAAGAAAGAAAGAAAGAAAGAAAAAAAAAGAAAGAAAGAGGGAAAATTAGAAAAGAAAATAAAATGTTGGATATGTAGAAAGAAAGAAAGAAATAAAGAAAGAAAGAAATAAAGAAAGAAAAAGAAAGAAAGAGGGAAAATTAGAAAGAGAAAATAAAATGTTGGATATGTAGAAAGAAAGAAAGAAAGAAAGAAAGAAAGAAAGAAAGAAAGAAAGAAAGAAAGAAAGAAAGAGGGAAAATTAGAAAGAGAAAATAAAATGTTGGATATGTAGAAAGAAAGAAAGAAAGAAAGAAAGAAAGAAAGAAAGAAAGAAAGAAAGAAAGAAAGAGGGAAAATTAGAAAGAGAAAATAAATTGTTGGATAGAAAAGTTGAAAGAAAGAAAGAAAGAAAGAAAGAAAGAAAGAAAGAAAGAAAGAAAGAAAGAAAGAAAGAAAGAAAGAAAGAAATGAGTAACCGGGAAAGAAATGAGTAACCGGGAAAATTAGAAAGAGAAAATGAAATCTTGGATACGTATAAAGTTGGTAGAAAGAAAGAAAGAAAGAAAGAAAGAAAGAAAGAAATTGGACTATGAGCAAGAGAAAGTAAAATGTTATATAAGTATAAAACTTAAAAAAAGAAAGTAAAAAAAAGAAAGAAGGAAGTTAAGAATAATAGAAAGATAAAACAAGTTGGATACGTATAAATTCGAACGAAAGAAAGAAAGAAAACGGGTTTTCCAGTAAAAATTTGAATGAAAGAAACAGGGAATATTATAAACAGAAAATTAAAAGGTTGAAAAAGTATCAATTTAGATAAAAGGAAGCTAGAAAGAAAGAACAAAGATAGGAATTGTAGAAAAGTCAAATAGAAGGTTGGAAAAGTATAAATTTGAAAGGCAGAAAGAATTAGAGAATAGAAAATAAGCGAATAGAATAAGAAATAGAAAATAAGCGAATATGATAGAATAAGAGAATAGACTATAAGCGAATAAAAGTTAGAAAATAAGTGAATAGAATATGAGAATAAAAAATAAGCGAAAGGATAAGTGAATAGAATATGAGAATAGAAAATGAATGAATAGAATAAGACAATAGAAAATAAGCGAATAGAATAGAATAGAAGAATAGAAGATAAGCGAATGGAAAAAAAAACAAATGTTGAGAATGAAAATGAATCCGATATTAACAATATGAAAAACTATGATATGATAACAGTAATGCATTAAAAATAGAAACAAATCTTGATGGGGGAGGTCAAAGATTAAGGAGAGGAAATTCGAAATTGAAATTATGACACATGATTGATTGGTTATTGATTCCTCCTTATCTGGTATTTCAACAGGTAAGGTCAAATGTTAACCAGCTAGAGAGTGTGAGAAAGAGAAAGAAAGAAAGTGAAAGAGAAAGGGAGAGATAAAGAAAGAGTGAGAGTTCACAGGAATGGAAATAAAGTAATGAAGAAGGAAGCGAAAGTGATCGAATGAACATTTTCTATTTACATTATTTATATTCGAGTTATTATTCCCATCTTTTTTGCTATCACAGCGTTTCGATCGTTGTTCCCTACGACCTTCATCAGGTGTATATCAATCTGGGTAACATACACCGTTAATATGCCAACAATAACTTTTAATAAGGGTAACTTTTATTTAAGTATAGGGTAAAGTTGACGACAATAGTCTGGTTTGTTTAGTTTGGTTTATTTTACAGCATATTAACCTCAATGGCTTATTTAATGCCAAGATTTTTATTGCTGGCAATATTTTTTTTAAATTATAGTTGGTAATATTTTTTTCAAAAAAAAATTATTGCTGCTAATAAAGTATTTCTGCTAATATTTTTTACAGAGTATTTCTGGTATTAAAACTTATTTTTACACTTTTTTGTGGGTTAACTATTTACCCATAGTTGGGATCCTAACAGGTGCTACCACACCGGGTCAGAGTGGACCTGGGAACACTAGCAATTAAGAGGTGTTTCCACGCTCCCCAAAACCTCGTGATTAGAGACCTTGATGTAGTTTATCGTCTTGCCCAGGACGGACAATAGTCTGAATGCAAATAGTGTATATAATAATAACTTCTCGTCCCAGAAATTAAAACAGAAATATTTTGTACTCCATTTTATCTGTTTATATGATTTTTAATTTGATGCAAATTTCACGGAAGTCTCGGATAATCGCATTCTCTATTATTTCAAAACAATAAGACAGTGAGTCCCCGCCTATTCGCGTTTCAGCATTCGCGGCTTCACACATTCGCGGATTTTTCTTTAGAACACATGTATTTGTTATTCGCAGAAACCCTGAATATTCATTTGTTTTTCTGAAGAACATATGTACTAATTATGCTCTGAGAACTTCCTCGATTCGCGTATTTTTTCGATAGAACATATTTAAAATATTCTTGTATTATTTTCCTGTTATTTAAGTGACTTAAAACATATAACAGTCCACTTTTATGGTAAAAATTGGCAGAATTGTGCATCTTCATTGTTAAACGCAAAAACATGCGTAGTGTTTGGGCTTTGTTCTTTATTAGGAGCTGCAGCTGGAGTCTTAAAAGTGGCTTATGCTAAGTCTGGGGGCATCATCACAGTTCTGTTTCAAGAAAATGTTTTAAATTTTATATTTTATGTCTTGTTAACCATATTTTATACAGTATTTTCAATGGTTGTATCGATCTGTAGGTAATTACAATCAGTTATTGCACATATGAAAGAAAATTTATGCTAAGTGTATGGCCACCAATACTATTTTTCAAAAATGTTTTTAAAAGGGTCTGAAATGTTTCTAAAGTGTTTAGGATGAAATATTAAAGCATGTGGTGTTTTAACAATCAGAATAGGTACTTATGAGAACTTATAGGGTCGGGGGTTACAAGTATTCGCGAATTCTAACTATTCGTGGGAGGTTTTGGTCCCTAACTCCCGCGAATACGGGAGACTGACTGTATACCATTAATATTTTTAGAATCTAGAAGGAATTCTGAAATAAACTCTTTATATAATCTGCATCTCTTTCATAGTGCTATTCAGTTATTAGTCGCTTGATTTCACTGAATCCAAGTACGCACTTCCCGGCCCAGGAATTGAACTCATAATTATTATGTAACCTAATTCACGAACCGATATGGAGCCTTAAACATAACTGGCCTACTGATTAGTGCTGCTGTTGTTGCCTATCATGTTTTGAGAGCCGTTGTTGCTGAAGACTTGCTTTCAATGGTCCTTTATTTATTAGTGGCTCACATACTTATTTCTATGCTAAGCGTACTAACGAGGCCCTCATCGCTTAGCAAATGCGCTGATTCTTTCAGATCGCTAACTCTCTAGTGTTCTTCTTTGTTTGGTATTTTGACTTCATTCCACTGGACTAGCCATTTCCCTTCGTACATGTTAAGCCATGCCCGATTTCATTGTCTCGCCTCTCACTATATTCTATCTATATTTTTACCCCAACTGCTGGGAACGTAGTACATGCAGTTCTTAGTCATGTTCTCCCCCGTGCTAGGCTTAATTCTCCGTAGAGTGAATATGCTTCTGAATATTGTACTGATGTTGTACAGACCACAGATCTTCTGAATCTTTCTAATACGCCCTTGAATGGAAAGTAGGCAGGCAGTGGCAATTATATGGTCTTCCTTCTCTTTTCAGCCTTCTATTTCCACCTGAAGATGTTGATGTAATATTTAAGGTTAGTTGTTATTCTAAAGGGCACGATTCATGCTGATCATTTCTTGTTGATATGTATCTGGGCTGCCAATGATGATTTCTGTCCGATGTTGTAGGCATGATATGACCCACTGTTGGATATCGATTGAGGAAAGACTTCTGGCCTTACTTCCGCGGCATCAGTGTATGAGCAGAAATCGAAACTGGTGATAGCATAAACGGGAAATGCATCCGGTGGATAAATAATTGGATATACGGGTGTCCTGGGCCTTGAATAAACATGGCACACAGGTGCCATCAGCGGAAAAAAATGCGTGCTTGGATAGTCGCAGGCTGGAAAATGCGTAGCCATACGAAGTTGCGTAGGCGATATGCCGAAAGAACGCGTAGGCAGGTGAGGTCGCGTAGGTGTTCAAATGTTACATAACCAGTCCGATTCTTTATCTGGGCTGGTGTGAGGTTCACCGAAGATTGTCTCCGTCAATTCCTGTGTGCGCAACCCTAACCACTTTGATTCTCCCTCACTCTACCCATTCGCCGCAACTATATCGATATATATATATATATATATATATATATATATATATATATATATATATTTAAAAGATATTTTGTACGTACAAAGGAAGTGTGGAAAAAAAATTAGAAAAAGGAACTAGAGGCAAATGACAGCGAGTCCCAACACACACCCACGTTGTTTACACAAAGAAGGCTTACGGGACTTCCTTTTATTGTACATTTTTCTGTGTCAATTTTAAATCTCCCGTTGAAGCCTGAAGAGCGGGAGCGAAACCGGTTGCTTCGCCCGTTTTTAATATGTCTCGTAATATTAGGTTTTATACTTTTATTTCGATCATATATATATATATATATATGAAGAAATATAGTGTTAAGATGTGCTATATTTATGGGATAAAGTGCTCAATATCAGCGATAGAGTGTGTGTAAATATAAAAGTGAACATAGAAGTCAACACTTAGAGGCGACAATCTGTTTCATGCTAGACGCAATCGTCAGGCCACCACGATTGCATATAGCATGTAACAGACTATCGCCTCTAAGTGTTGACTTCCATGTTCACTTTCATATATATATATATATATATATATATATATATATATATATATGTGTGTGTGTGTGTGTGTGTGTGTGTGTGTGTGTGTGTGTGTGTGTGTGTGTGTTTGTAGCTTTATTTGAGCCCAGCATCAATATACGAGAGAACGATATACATCTGATGAAGGCCGGGGGGCACATCGGCCGAAACGTTGTGATAACAACAAGAAGAAAAGATGAGGACAATCGTACGAATGCAAATAGTGTAAATTAGTAAGTTATTTTGTACGTTGTTTACATTGTATCTGTTTATTTGAAGTTTTAATTTCCCATGTGCGTAAACCTAAGTCGCGTCAAGTCACAGAAGTCACGGATAATCCCGTTAAATATTATTTCACACCATTAATATACCAATAACATATGTGTTTATTTTTTGTGGAATAATGTGACGCTGATGAAACTCAGTGCCGTAACACGAATATTTCTGGGTTGTTGAGATATTGCAATATATCTGGCTGTATTCACGATTACGATCAAATGTTCCGTCACCCTTAAGTTTTTGTAGGAGTACAACATGTACTATAGCCGTATAAATAGTTGTGATCTTGGGAAATCTAGCCTGACAGAGCCCAAACCTCTTTTTGTTTGAATTCATAGTTTTCCTTCTCCATTTACTGTAATATAAAATCACGTATCTATGAACACAATAAGAATCGTATACACAATAATTTATCAACTACACGTGTATAAGCTCAATTCAACTTAAAATGCTTGCATTCACTTACGTGTAAATACCCTTGAGAAAGGTATGAACCCATTTTTCCCCTCTCAGCTATGGATTAAATGGCAGGACAGGCTATGGTCCTAAAGTCTTGGTTAGCAGTCTACCGCAGCAATAAACGGCAAGCTACTACGGGAAAATCTACCGCCTCGTCAGTCATGAATCGAAAGGGACAACTGTGGCACTCAGCTGAAAGAGTCAACAGTCATTTAGAGAAACAAAATTGTGGAATTTGTGGAGAACCGTGTTCCCCCAACCGTCTATCACGTATGGCACTTAATAGACTGATAAGTTTAAGTTAGATCTCAAGTTTACTACACTTTTTAAAAGAGAAAATATCCTACTTGGACGTAAAGTTCTTAGATGTGCAGCTATTGAGTCTTCCCAAAACATTAAACTACGTTCTGAATTTTTTCAAATATCTCCTTTCTTAGAAGAAACACTCCTTTCGCAAGCCAACATCTATGGTCATAAAAATATTTAAAAATAAATGAAAACAGTTAAAGGAAAAATATTTAAAACTAGATTAAAAGCCGCCGAATAAACTACAGAACTTAAAAATGATCGCTAAATTTAAGTATTGCATTAATATTTAAGCTTACCTTTTAAAAGTTCAGCGAGAATTATCCTGCCGCCACTTAATTTAATCACTGATGTACGTAGGTCTTTACTTTTCCGTACAAAAAATATTTTTAATACATGGGTAACTTTCGTTGGATTTCGCAATTAATTTCGATTATTCGTGAATTTATTTCCAAATCGTAAAAAATGTTATCGCACAAATAAATTCATCGCAAAAAAAAAAAAAAATCACGTAAAAAATGGCCGAAAACTATCGCAGTTATGAAAACTTGGGAATCCAAAATTTCAGGTTTGCGGGTTCAAATCCGACCCGGGATGTTTTTAATTTGCCCACGGAGTCGGCCTGATTTCATAATGGTATGATATGCTTGGTTACGTCTTCTAAGGGTGAACTTTTTTTTCTTTTTTTTTTTTTTTAAGCATTACGCCCCAAGCCACTAGGATGCAGGGGGTTGCGGAAGATTTGGAGCGAGAGCGGATAGGAGTGATAGAAGAAAGGATGAGGAGAAGGATAGTAGGTAGATCAAGGTAACTGGAGGTGTCGATTGACATTACATTTGAATAGTTGGAGATTATAGCTTTCAGGGAAACAGTAATTGGGAAGGGTGTTCCACAGGCGAGAGGTGCGAGGTATGAAGCTATTGGAGTAGAAGAGACGGCTACATTTAAAAGTTTCTACAATGTAAGGGTGGGAGCGGGATGCCAGCCTCGTAGGGCGCTTGAATTCATGGAGTCTGGGAACCAGTGAAAGCAGCTCATCGGAGCAATTACCATGAAAGTATTTGTAGAAAAGACAGAGAGAGGCGACGTCGCGTCTGTGAGAGAGTGACTGCAGACGAGACGCCAGATCAAGGCCAATTATATTACATATTCGTCTCTGGATCTTGTCAAGAACTCCGAGGTAAGCAGAAGGTGCTCCAGCCCATATATGGCAGCAATACTCCATGCAAGGGCGAATGGTTGATTTGTATATTTGAAGTAACGATTCAGGGGAGATAAATTTCCTGGCGCGGCACAGAGAGCCAACTTTCCTCGTGGTGGAAGAAGCAATTGACTCAATGTATTTGTTCCATCTCAGGTCACCAGTCAGCGTGAGACCGAGCAGACGCAGGGAGTTGCTTGAAAAAATATGACATAGTGACACACTGACATTGGAATTTATTATATAAATACATAAATAATTGTTTGTGTTAGCATCAAGTGTTTCGTTAAAGAGTCAAATTAATATTAATTGGGCAGTATCGAGAAGTCGAGAAAAACATATTCCTATCGGGGGTCGGGGTAATCAAAACTGTATTTTCTTTTTTCTATCAGGAAAACAACACATATTGCCAAAGTGTGCTCTTACAATTTAGTCCATTTAAACATACACACATACACATATATTAGGTTAGTTTGAGTTTTTTCCCCTTTTTTAAGACAATCAACACTGCCCTCGCTGTGAGAGTTGGGGGTTTCATGTGCTAAGTAGTGACACCAAGTAGCTTCATAGCTTTGACAAAATTATGTATATTTACGTTTCGCGGGGGTTAGGGACCAAAACCGTCCGCGAATAGTTAGAATTCGCGAATACTTGTAACCCCACCCATTAAAATTTCTTAAAATTACCTATTCTGATTGTTAAAACACCTGAAAAAATCTACAGAAATATCAAATGTTCGTTTAGAAAACTGACTTCGAATTATTACTATATCAAGAATAAACCCAAATAATGTTGATATTTTTGTATTAGTTATATTCTAATTAGGATACACCATGAGCAAAATATGCAGTTTTTTACTGCATTCGATAAGTGTAAACTGTAAAAATTGTAAATAATTACATAAAAGGCTAATCAATGAATATGATCTTACACCATGTGTTTAGCTGTAATTAACAAAACCAAAAATAAAAGTGTATATAACACCGTAATACTGATGTGCACAAATTATAAGATAAAATAAGGCAAGATTCAAACAAACGAAGATAGATAGATAGATAGATAGATAGATAATCCACAGCCTGAAATAGATAGATAGATAGATAGATAGATAGATAGATAGATAGATAGATAATCAACAGCCTGAAATAGATAGATAGATAGATAGATAGATAGATAGATAGATAGATAGATAGATAGATAGATAGATAATCAACAGCCTGAAATAGATAGATAGATAGATAGATAGATAGATAGATAGATAGATAGATAGATAGATAGATAGATAATCAACAGCCTGAAATAGATAGATAGATAGATAGATAGATAGATAGATAGATAGATAGATAGATAGATAAACAAACAGACCAATATATATATAGATAGAGAGATAGATTAATAAAATAGACCTAGATAGATAGCTGTTGAAAGATATAGCTAGATGTGAACAGAGTAATTGATAATAAATAGATAATAGATAAATAAAAAAGGCATAGATAGATAGATAGATAGATAGATAGATAGATAGATATAAAATTTAAGTTGTCATATAATAAGGTTTGACAGAAATAATATTTGAGGAAAAAACGAGATCCTATCAATATTTTATTGCCACTAGGGGCTAGTAGCAACCCCTTTATATTTGGTAATGAAATGTTTATTTGGGTTAGAGAAATCCATGAATATGAAAAAGTGACTGGCAAAGCAGAAAATGCAAATCCATTCCAAATCCTGCTGCCAACTCTTGTCTTTCATTCACTGACTTCTTTTGCAAATAGAAAGTCTCTTCCAACTGCCTCTTGTAATACACTTACTAACGCACTCTCGTTCGACTGCTTGTCAAACAACACACACGAGTTCTTGCAGTGTTCCATATCCACAGACGAAGCGATATATGATGGCTACACCATCTGCTTCGATCCACAGGAAATAATTGCGATCAATTTTTCTTCACTCATTCGTTGTCTCTTTCATTCGCATTCATTCATTTTTTCCTTCCTTCCTGAAATATTCTTCTCACCTGCAAATCATTGAGTCGTTTTTTTTTTCTCCCTAATCTTTGCCTTTCTTTTTCTTTTCTGTACTACGCTCTTTCTCTTCTTTCGCCCTCGAAGTCTGACTCTCTCTCTCTCTCTTTTTCTACCCCCCACCACACGTAGTCTTTCAACTTTCAGTTCATTTTCTCCCTAGCCTTCTCCCTGTATTTCTCTGTCTGTTTCCCCCTCTTTTACGCCTTCTTTATTTCTTTCGCTATTTACTGTTACGCCCTTTCTCTTTCTTTCTCTTTCTCCTTCTACGTCACTTTCTATCTGTCCTTTGTTTCTCTGTTTTCATTTTTCTTTTCCTTTTTCTTCTACTCCTTTTCTGTTACTTTTTTTTTTAATTTTTTAATTTTTTTAAATCAATTCACCCCCAAACAAGGCGATAATGCCACTAAGACGCAAAGAGCTACAGAGAGTGAAAGAGAATGAAAAAGAGCTTTAGATGGAACCGGAAACCTAATTCTAAATAAGCTTTCACTTTCACACTTCACTTCTTACTTTCACGCTCTCTAGTTCACTCACTCTTTCTTTTCCTCTCCCTCTCTCTTTCTTTCTTTTCCTTTTTCTATTTCTCACTCTCTCTCTTTTTCTCTCTCTCTCTCTCTCTCTATTTCTCTTATGTGTTTCACTCTGGCTTTTAAATTTTTGTTCCCGTATTTTATAAATTTAAGGATTTTTTCTTTTCCTTTTTTACTTCCTGTTGCTATCTGTTTTTTCTTTTCTTTTTTACTTTACTTTTTTCTCTTTTCTTTTGTTTCCCTTTTTCATTTTTTCTATTTGTCTCTATTTGCGTTTTTCTGTCTATTTTATTTCTGTCTTTATTTTTCTTTCTGTCTCTCTTTCACACCTTTTTTGTTGTTTTTTTTCTATCTTTTTTAATGTTTTCTTTCTGTTTCTATTTTTTCTTTTTGTCTCTCTTTCTATCTTTTCTTTTTGTCTCACATTCTTTCTTTCTGTCTTTCTTTCTTTTCTTTCTCTATACGTAAAATTAAAATTTTATGTCTCTCTTTTACTTTGTCTCCCTTCATACCTTCTTTTAGCCTCTATTTTTCTTTCTTTCTTTCTGTTTCTATTTATTTCTTTTTTCTGTCATTTTAAAATTTTCTTTCTGTCTCCCTTTTTTTCTCTGTCGCTTTTCCTATTTTTTTTTCTTTTTGTCTTTCTTTTTCTTTCTGTCTCTATTGCATTCTTTTCTTTATGTCTTTTTTTAAAAATTCTGTCACTCTTTTTTCTTTGTCTTTTTTCCTATCTTCTTTTAGCCTCGCTTTTTGTTCCTTTTCTCAGTATTCCGTTTTTTTTCTGTCTGTTTTCTTTCTGTCTCTCTTTTCTCTTTGTCGTTTTTTTTCTATTTTTTCTTTTTTTTTCTTTCTGTCTATCTTTCGTCCTTTCCTTTCTGTCATTTCTTTTACAAAATATTATGTCACTTTTTTTCTTTGTCTTTTTTTTCGTTTTGCCTCTCTTTTTCTTTCTTTCTGTCACTATTACTTTTCTTTCTGGCTTTTTTTTTTAATTTTCTTTCGTTTTCTTTTTTTTTTCTTTGTCCGTCTTTATATCTTTTCTTTTTAAATTTTCTGTTTGTTTCTTTTTCATTTCTGTCCATTTTTCCTTTCTTTCTTATTGTCTTTAAATTATTTTCGTTTTGTCAGTTTTTTTCACTCATTCTTTACTTTTCTGTCTGTCGTTTTTCATTTTCTTCTTCTCTCGCTCTTTTCTTTTCTTTGTGAATCTTTCATTCTTATGGTGAGAATATATATATATATATATATATATATATATATATATATATATATATATATATATATATATATATATATAGGTCTGCTCTACGGTTGTATTGAGCTCTTTTGTTAGTTGTTTACTCGTATCGGGGTTTTTTTCTTTGGGCTTCAGACCTGCATCTGTGCGATTTTTTTTTGTCGGCGGAAGTTCATGTTTGTAGCTCTTTCTTTTTTTTTAAAACCTTTTTTTCCTTCGAGATTGATTTGATTAGCAAATCAAAAATTCGAGGGTTTTTCGAAACGAGTCTAGTTATATATATATATATATATATATATATATATTGCTCTACTTTGTATTGAGCACATTTTAAAGTAAATGCTACGAACAGTGGATTTTACTCAATCCGTTCTTTCTCTCATTGATATATATATATATATATATATATATATACTTAAACATACATTGTTAAATATAACAGACAACGAATGTCTATTATGTTTGATCAGTTGCGGTACTAAACTTCGTATGGTTTGCCTTAATTTTGGGAGAATATAAATACAAAAATTGTCCAACAATGCGTCAATACACTATATATATATATATATATATATATATATATATATATATATATATATATATATATAATTATAGTAAAGAATAAACAGCTCCCAAAAAAGTCTGCCTAACATTGCACACTGGTTAAAAAAAAAAAAAGTGCTCAATAACATAAAAAATAGCAGGGCTTTAACATATTTTAAATCAATTGTCAAATAGGCGGTAGTCGGCCACGACTGCTAGTTTCATACGCTTTCACGAAATCATTAGGCAGTCGCTGGTTGTAGTTCATAATTATGTTATATTATTTAATTATACTGCTAATGATTTTATTATATAAATTCATTGAAAGGATGACAGGGGTGAATGTGATCAGGAATTAATTCAAGCATTACTATACAATTCTGCTCTTTTATGTTTAATGTCAATGAATTGCTAATAGTTTTACCTTCGGAATGCATTGACAATCTGGAAAAAAGAGATTGTCAGGGTTCAGAAATGAAGTCAAGCATTATTGATAGACTAGAACTATTACATATTTAATACATTTAGTACATTGCTAAAAATTGTTATGATGAGGGATGAAATTGAGGCGAAAACAATCGTCCAGAATTCAAGCTCAGAGTCCAAAGAAAAAAAAACCTCCAAAACGAGTAAAGCAAAAGTAACTACGTAAATTGCTCAATACGCTAATAAGAGCAATTATACATATATTTAATTAATTCATCGAGTCTGATAGAAACCTCCACAGAATGCAGGAAGCACTGGACGGCCGTTTCGTCCCATATTTGGGACTCATCTGCAGTGCGCATCCACTACCGAGAATTGAATCCCTGACAGTTAGTTTGTCAAGCGAACACCATACCAACTGTTCCAAATGGGTCTCGGTGACGAAGAGATTCCAAATCAGACTCAACTTAGCGCCGCTCACATATTCTGTGGAGGTTTCTATCAGACTCGATGAATTAATTAAATATAATTATCAAATCCTCCCAATAATTACTATATATATATATATATATATATATATATATATATATATATATATATATATATTATGAAATGGACTATGTACGACAATTATTTTAAAATAGTTTCTGTTTATACCTTATTTTGTATAGATATTAATATTTAAATAAATGAACTGATTGCAATAAACAGTATTAAACAACATTTAATATATGACCTCGTTTACGTTAAGATAAGCAACGAGAAGATATGAGTTTTCGAGAGAAATCATGGGAAATTTGTTGTTCAAAGACAGTAATTAGAACTTCATAACTAGACGCTTCCTCTGTAGCTAAATAGTATGGCACGTCAGGCTATGTTACGGTTTCGTATAGGATACAGGTTTGATTCCTGTCGGAGGATACATCTTTTCTATGAATTTTTTTCGGACATTCAGGCCGATAAATACTGTTAATACTGTTTATTACAAAAAGAGCATTTACTTTATTATTTGTATCTATAAAAATAGTGTTATAAACAGAATATATATATATATATATATATATATATATATATATATATATATATATGGTAAGTAAAAGTTGAAGGGAAAGTACTTGTTATTGGGCACTTTAACACATAACTATAATATACCTTATATATATAGGGAAGGAGAGAGAGAGTTTTGTATTTGGGCATAATTCCTCTTTATGTATGTTTCGATAAATATGACTGTCAAATACGACCAGTACATTGCAGCAATGTATTCATAATTGATGTCAATAATGAACCAGAACAGGTCTGTGATACTTACCTCCAACTGTAAAAGACATTAAAATTTGATGGAAGCTCTTATTATAAAACACAAGAAACTAACCTTTATAAATACTCAAAGAATTGAAATCATTTTCATCTCTAGGTTACAGATTTCTCGTCTGAGTCATAATTTTACCCAGTTAATTGGCTTTACATTAATTTCAAATCATATTTCTGAAGTCTCTTTATTCGTTGTACCCTTAATTAATCTAAATGTGTTATTATTGAATAATAAATGCAATTTATTAATTCACAATTAACGCAAGTGATTTACAATAATCTTCGAAAATGATAATAAATGTATTTAGTTTAAATTATGTCTGACAGCTATATAGCGTTGAAACACAGGTTCTCATCCAATCAAGGATGTTAAGCAATGTTAAACCTGGTCAATACTCAGATGGGTGATTATTTGGCTGCGTGACAGACCAAGGTGCGGTGGATGTGAACAGTCTAACGGATGTCTACCGTCGTCTGTGGGAACGTGCGGTCTCTCTGACTTTTCGCGGGCTGT